TCAATAGTGAGGTGGTGACATGCCACGTCAGGGTTTAGCTCGGGCATCTCCGCGGCACTCCACGCAAACAAGTTTGCATTCTCCCGGAGGCATGCTCTCAGTTGTTCCCTCGCTAGCTTGGGGAGACTGGTCCCGATCTTCACTCCTCACTTAGGGTCGTCGCCGAGCAAGACAAGCTCGAATTCTCCATCCGGAATTGGGCGCATTGGATGGGCAGCTTTGTCGCTACTGGAGGGCATGCTCGAGGATGAATGAATCTCTTTCCCCTTTGCCTTCTGAGTATTCCGGTCGTCTTCAGAGAAGCAGATGTCTAGGTCAATGGAATCGACACGGGCAAGCAGCTTTGCCTCTTCGGTGCTGCTAGACAGAGTAGGCTGGATAAGAGTCTTCGGTCGGTTGGCATTTAGTCCCTTGGATGCTGCTTCAAAGCATCTCTTCACGACTTCAATGTCCCTGTGTAGGGTTGCAACAGGTCCTTTAGAGGTGTAGTAGTTCCTCTTCAAGTGTACTATTGAAAACACGACCACCAGCTCGGCCAGAGTTGGTCGCCCGAAGATACACTGGTATAGTGACGAACAATCTAAACCAGGAATTGAACCTTGATTGACCTAGCCGTTTCAGCGGACCCAAAAGTTACGATCAGCTCAACGTAACCCCAAGGCTTTGTCATCGACCCATTGAAGCCCTATAGGTTAGAGCCTACGAAGGGAGTCAAATGTGATTCGTCCAGCTGGAGCGTGAAAAACAGCTGGGAGTACATAATATCAACGGAGCTGCCTTAATCAACGAGTATTCGCCGAACGTCAAAATTTGTCATCTAAGCCCTTACAAGTAAAGGAATGTTGGCGTTGCTCCACCGAGGAGCTCCTCACGGTAGAAGTAGATGGGAACAGAGTCTCCCCGGACCCTGTCGAGGGTGGAGTTCCAGTTCTAGCTGTTCCTGATAAAGTGCTCAAATTTCCTTTTGACAGACTCCACCATCACTTTGTTAAAACCTCCTCCGGAGATGACCATGGCGGAGGGAAACATCTTCTATGGACTGTTCTTGGAAAAATATGGAGGAGCGTTGAGCTCCTCGAGGATGTAGAAATCTTGAGGTCGTGAGACGCTCATAGCGACCTAGAGGTTGGCTTCCTCGGAGGAAGGCACTTCTTCCTCGACCTTCTAGGATTCCTGGGCGTCTGGTCGATGAGCGTCCTTTCGTTTGGAAAACTGCTTCAGATGCCCATCCCTGATAAGTAATCTCTATGGTATCCTTTAGGTGGATGCAGTCATATGGCCATGGCTCTTGTAGAACCGACAATATTTAGACTTATTAGTGTTGGGTTTGAACAGTATCTTCTTTGGGAACAGGACTCCTGCCTGCCGGAATTCTGAGTTGGCGCACTCAGTGAGGATCTTTTCCCTTGAAACTGTCAAGGGAATGTATTCGTGGAACCGGCCGGAGGGTCCTTTATTGTCCCGGGGCTCGCGGGGACGGTCTTCTTGTCTTTTATCTCTCTGACAGGATGTCGAGGGCTCTTCAGACCTGGATGGTTGGGCGTTCTCCATATGCCTAGAATCACGGGAAAAGCTGACAGCCTCTTTTTCTTCGTACTGAATGTACGTTTGTGCTTTGAGGAGGAAGGCGTTCAGCGTTGTCGGGGGTCAGATGCCTACAATTTTAGCAAATTCTGTACGGGGACGGAGCCTGCGTTCGAGCAGAAACTTTTTCATGTCATCGGTGGTAGAAACTTGAACGGCCTCCTTGTTGAATCTTTCAATGTAGGCTCCCAGGGTTCGTCTCTCCCTTGAATGATGGCCTCAAGGGATGCTTCGGTCTTTGGATGGCGGCGAGAGACCGTGAAGTGTTTGGAGAAGAGTCTCCTCATTTGTCTCCATGAGGTGATGGAGTCGTTGGGAAGCCCTTTGTACCAGGTCATTGCCCCCTTCCTAATCGTGGTTGAGAATAACTTGCACTTGATAGCGCCCCGGACGCTGCAATAATTGAGCAACACATCGATATTTTTGATGTGCCCGTTGGGATCAGTTATTCCGTCATATGTTCCTAGAAAGGGGGTTTCTTTATTCCTCTTGGTAGGCGCATGGCCATGATCTCTTGGGACAACAGGTTGTGAGGCTCGTTGTCGTTGCTGCTGTTGATCCAAGACAGGGAGCGGGCATCCCGTCTGTATGTAAGATGACGCTCTCGTCGGGGAGACGAGGTTCGTGCTCGGCCATTGGATCTGAGCGGAGGCAAACGTTGGAACTCTGCTTGGTGGCCTCTTCTGGTCCTCTTGGGTTATAGGGAATGCTGGTTTCGGGGAGAAATGTGGCCACATTTGCGGATGGTCAGGGTCTCTGGTTTGGAGGTGTTTGACGGTTCCTCTCGCGCAGGGGAAGGGGACTCCGTTGTTGTTGGCGTTCTTTCCTCGGCAAAGGGGATCTTGGACGACTGGACTCTTGTAATGCTCCAATTCTCGCGTTCTAGTTGAGGATTAGGAGGTTGGTTTTGTTGAGAACCTCGAGGAGGGCCGCCATGGCCGGGTCGGCGCTGGGCGGAACTGAAACTAGCAGGTAATGCGGGACAAGTAGGAGTTTGTCGTGATCTGCGCGAGCAGGGAATGGGGATGTTGTGGTTCCGTCCCTTTTTCGGAGGACGTCGCCACCATGAGAGGTGGTGGCCTCATCAGCATCAGTCTACCTGACGAGGAGGAAAGTAAAGTTATAAGCATCAAGATTGTTATCACAGACGACCATGATCAGAAATTTGAAGAATTGTTTTGGTCTTGTATTCTGCGAAGAGAGGAAAGACAGGGATACCAAGTTTCCCACAGATGGCACCACTGATCTTACCGGTTGATCAGAACCTGAGGTGGAGCAAAGACAAGCGTCTGTGATGCTGGGTGTGAAAGAGGATGAGGGGGTGTACCTGCAAGGCACTCCGATGCTAAAGTAAGAAAACGAGAGAGAGAGAGAGAGAGAGAGAGAGAGAGAGAGAGAGAGAGAGAGAGAGAGAGAGAGAGAGAGAGAGAGAGAGAGAGATAGCAGGTACAGAATATGAGTGTTTCAGAGTGAATATTGAATACCTGACCCTCTCAAGTGAGAGGTTTTTTTATAATGCCCCCAGCGCTTGACCATTGGTCCCTATTTTCAGAGCGATATAATCGTTTTCCGAAGAATAGGTAACTGCCAGAACTAGCCGTTGGAACGGACAGACGTGTCCATAAATAGTCGTTGCTACAGAAAGAGGTGTAGTTACGGGCACAAGTGTCTTGGCTGTTTCTGGATGATAAAACCGTGTGTGACGGGTAGAGACTGTCGAGGAGAAGTGTTGTGGCCAAGGATAAACTGGTCAGCCTCCCCTGTTAGAGGGGCAGAAAGGTAGATTCTCCCCCAAAGTGATTGGACTTAGGTGGACCGTTCTGGGTGCAGAAGTGGATTGGGTCATCACTAGCCAATGGGTCAGTTCGGAACAGGTATTTTGCTTATGAATCTAATAAACTTTTAATCTTTTTGACTTTGTGTGTCTTGTCGCCTTATAGGTCTGAAATTCACTCAAACAAAAGGAGATTATAAAGAAAAATATTTATTTGGGTAATGCATTGAATCAAGGAACAACAAGAGGTATGTCTTTTTTAGTAATAGAAGTGTCTTTCTCCTTTTTTAGTTTTTTAGTATAGAAAACATATATTGCTAGCTCTCTCTTTAACATTTATATAGTCATTTTCCTATCCCTTTGTTAGAAAAATAAGTTAAATCAAATGGGTTAAGTCTAGAACCGTGAGCGAAATCACTTTTTTATAAGTATTTCAAGTAATATGAAATGTTTTAGAGTTGAAACGCATGAATACCTAGGATAATGCAGTCTATACATGAGTTTACTTAAGATCGATGAAAACTTGAATGTAGGGAAGATGAAATTTAGAATTTTATGTGAAGAGGATAGGATTTTGTATTGTATTTTTCTGAATCCAAAATACTCAATTTATAGGTCTAAGTAGTGTTGTTTCATGCGACCCTTGATGAAACACACTTTCAACAACACTTTTACAAAACATTTCACTGTTTAGCCTACAACAACACTTTTACCAAATGTTGCATTGTTTCGCCTACAACACCACTTTTATCAAATGTTACACTGTTTCGCCTACAACAACATTTTTATCGAATATTGCAATATTTTGCCTACAACAACCGTTTTCAAAGGCTGTATTGTTTCGCATTCTGCTGCACTTTACGAAGTGTTGTTTATTTTTGAATTCAAAATACAAACGGCCTACTGAAACATTTCACAAGTGTTGTCTATTTTTGAATTAAGAAATTAACCTTCACTTGCATAATTTCTTGTCATATTTAAAACACACTCAAGACTATTAATTGTTAATAATTTACGACAACGATTCTATAGTATAGTTATTTCAAACGTTAGTACACTCGATTATTTTTTGCACAGCGACATGTTTTTAGAACCGATAGTATGTCAACAAAACTAGATATAAAAACAAATATCAATTCACAACTTTCAAAATCAACGCCTGTTGCCCTATGATTTATATAACAATACTGCTAGTATCAACTAAGTTTGCAGGTTAGCATGCTAGAAAAATATGATCAAAAGTCGATTATATCATCATAGCAAGCTATATTACGACATACTCAATTGACGATAGTACCAACAAGAAACTTTAAACAATCATCTATGGTTCTGGGTAAAGGGGTCCGAGACAATCAACTACGACTCATAGAAAGGAATCTTATGTAATCAAATATGAGAGCCCAAAAACAAATAGTCAATTACAAAAGGAGCAGAAACATTGAATCAAAGTTCTAAGTTTGAAAAAAAAAAGCAGTTGCAGCAGTTATGTTAGTAAAGTAAATTCTTCTTAAAGTTTGAAAGAATATATGCTACTGTAAAGTACAAGAACAGATTAATTAAATACAAAAAGAAAAAAAAAATCATACAAAAAAATGGTGATCATTACAGAGAATTTACTCAAAATAAAAAATAAATAAATAAATCAGACCAAAACATCAAGATTCGGAGCCATCTTTCCAAACAACAACTTCAAATCATTCTCCAACGGTGTCAAATTCAAGTCCAAGCACAAAACCCTAGCACTACTCAATCTCTGTAGCACTGGTAATTTCACAACCTTTTCTATTGAAGAAAACTCTTGGTTGGCCATAGCTTTATGCCTTCTCATGTGTCCACCTAGTGCTTGCCCCAACGAAAACTCTTGTCCACAAATAGAACATTCATGCATTCTAGGTTTATTTCCCAAACTCAAAGACAAACCATTTGTTTTCACGAATTCACCACTTTCTAGCTTTGATCTTTTATGGCTTGCACTGTGGCCACCTAGGGCTTGAAAGGATGAGAATTTTTTGTTGCATGTTTTGCACTCATATTCTACTGCTCCATAACTTTTCTGATGTGGTTTATTTCTTTGTTGTTGTTGTTGGAGATAAGAAACCATCATTAGACAATTTGATAGGTTTATGTTTTCTAAAGATTCAACATCTCTTTGTCTCTTCATGGCTATGTACGTAAAGTTTACAAGATTTGAAGATTTAAAAGTTTATAAGAATTTATGAATGAAGTTGGGGTTAATTGGTGAGTAACATTTGGATGATGAGGTTTATATTATAAGCTATTGCCAGAATAAAGTCAATGAGTTTGACTGATTTATTAATTCAATTATTTATGGTTTTATTTTAAATAGATTTTTATAAAATGTATGATATTATTTTTAAATATTTTATTTTTATATGGACGGTTGAACTTTAAACTTTCAACATCAAACAGCGGAAAACAAAAAGCGATGTTTCGGAGTTCAGCTTTGAGGTTTAACTGGTTGTCTAGAAAGAACCAAATGTAATGACACAAATACCCTCTTTGTTGACTCAAATTCTTGTTCAATTCAGGAATAGGAAATGTCTGTTTTGGGTATTTTAAAAAGTGTTTAGGTCACGTGAAGTTTACACTTACTCACGTTTGTTATGTTAACGATGTTTGGGTGAGCTACCAAGTTGGTTGTTCCTTTTTGAAAAGTATCCTTTTTCTAGTAATTTTAATGAACACAAGGATTTTTACTATAAAATGATAATTTAAAGCAAAAGCTTCAATATGGACTGCGTGCGTTGATACTTATTTGGTGTGCAACAAATAACCAAGTCATAGATACTATATGCATTTTCACACGTAGCGACTGATACACACAATTATATGTGACAAGACAAATTAAACAACAACGGTGGGAGATGGGAATGGTAACACGTTCAAAGCTCAAACTAGAAAAGTATATACAAGTTAAATTAGTTCAAAGAAAAAGTGTAAGACATTTTATTATTGGTCGTTCTATATGTCATCGTGTACATCATGTGTTGATATTGAGTGAGTGAAGATGTATTTTAGTCAATGAGAAGAAAACATGTGAGATCTAAGTTTGTCATGTAAAGAATAAGAGTTTTCTTAGTTCTTATAAAATATCAAGACACTTTAATCTTTATTTTGTTTGAAAATCCGTCCATTATGAAGTTAGAGTTGATCAGAGACTTGAGGTTGCAAGGTGCAAATTTAGTTTTCGATGCAGTGAGAGAGAATTTGGTCTCCAAGATTAACACTCTAACGGTCAAGTCAATATTTGAGTAAGAAGAGTGAGTGAAGTTGAATTTGAATTTGTGTATCTAAGGAATATCGTGCTCTTCCTTTATACAGGGGACGTTGTAACAACTCGTTATTCTTTCATCGTAAAATGCGAGGAGCGTTGGATGTATCTTGAATATAGATCACATATACTCTTTTCCAAGGTAACACTCATGCGTTGCGAGCAAACTGACAAAATATTGTCTTCTTTGGGCGGGGTTGTTGGCCCTTCTGGTCGACCCAGAAAAATTCTCCCATACCTTTGTCTCTTTTTGACAGTGTGAGGGCTTTTATTGTATTCTCCCTTTCGTGTCGATCACATACCGGCTTGAATTGAAAGTCAAGAGGTGACATTGATGTCCTTGGGAAGTCGCGCCTTAAATCCGCCTCATGCTATATATGTATTTTTGTATGTTCTATCATAATGATGTTTGGGAAGTAAAATACTCAAGTGTCTTCCTAAAGTGATTTGGAGTGGTTGATTGTGCTTATTACTTTTTGGGAAGTCATCACGTGATCTTTGAAGAGTTATTTCTGTAGTTTCTTAAAATGTTACATTTTCGTCATTGTCATCTATCTTTCTATAACATACTATATTTATTTAACTAAAGGAAGTAGTACCTATCAAGAGAATCAAAAGATATTTTTGCTTCTTGGATTAACCCTATTATTTCAGCAACTACCTTTGCTTTTGCTCGTAAAGGTAGTCTTGATAGGGCCTTTCTGGATATAGGTCCTTCTTTAGATTGAGTGTTACTGATCCCTAGGATGACAAAAGGATTTGTAGTGAGTATGGAAGATATTCTATTCCTTTCTATAATTGCACCTTTTCGATCTTAGATCTGTGCTTACTGTAACACCATACTTCCCAACTCGACAATTAAATAAATAAACCACAATTATTCACCAAGCAGGATCCTACTCACAACTATTAAACCATCTTGAACCACATAATAATGAAAAACAACTCATTTGATAAGCAACGGAATTACAAAAGCATTTGGCGTAAAGGTCTCAACGATATTATTAGTTTGAAAAGGCGATTCATCGTAAAATAAAATCAACAGAAAGTTACACAACATAAAAAAAATATAGGACAACATGATCCCCTCGTGTTACATATCAGAGCGACTCCAACTATATACCCAGACGGCAAGTAACTAAAGAGGCACAACATCGTCCTCAACCTCAAGCTCTTACTCAGGTACATGATTATTTGTACTCTAGAGGAGTACAGACACAACAACACCAAAATGGGGGTGAGAATACATTCAAATAATAAACGGTGTATAAACATTCATGATAGATCCACACATCTAAAAAATCATCCACATAATCAGAAAATGCATCAACATCATGTATTCACGTTTCACCCACATCACAATCATGCAATATAATGCAACAATGACTGAACTCGTGCTCGTCATGGTCCCCATTCTAAACCAAAATCATAACTCAACTCTACATGCATGCGCTACCGATTCAACGTTTGGTTCTTCATATGAATCGGTTCCCAATTGTGAGTGCAACTTCACGATGAGGTATTTTGTATGATGCCAAAACATTGAAACTACTTTGCATTTTGGTATATTGGACATCAGCTTTGAGTATATGTGGCTCTCTTGCATTAGAGGTCTTAGGAATCATCAAAAACAACCTTGAACTTGCCCAAAAACATGAAAAACAGATTTCTGCACAAAAATGCATTACATGTGTCAGCACATACACATTTCAGGCCGACATATGTAACTCAATATTAAAACTTGTAGCTTCTGTTTCGTTTCTGCACAAAAATGAATTACATGTGTCAGCACATACGCATTTTAGGCCAGCACATGCAACTCAATATTAAAGTTTGTAGCTTTTGTTTTGTTTTGGTCGATACATACCTTATGCAGGTCGGCACATAATGATAGTTTCACCATTATATGTTGGCACATACATGTTTTAAGCCGACACATCTACTGTCCAAAATAAGATTGCAGGTTTTGTTTTAGTTTGGTCGGCACATATGTCATTTCAGTTTGACACATGCTGTTATTTTTGACAGTATGTGTCGGCACATCCAAAGTTTAGGCTGGCACATATTGTTTAAGCTGTTCAGTTCTAGTTATTTTTTTACTCCAAAAATTATCTCTTTGCCACCAATCTTCCAAAACTATATATACATCATTCATGTTTCATTCCAAACTGGTGATACCATAAAATTAGCCTGCATTTGCTCATCATCTTCAACCACTGTCCTATGTCTACACACTGAAAAATCACACATAAAAATCTTCTGATGGGGTGCAGCTAGGTGAAGGCCTGATAACATCCGATTAGGTTCTTGTGTAGCTGAAAATATCGGTTTGAGATTTGTAGGGGTCTTCATCCAGAAAAACTGTGAGTTTGTCCTCCAAGATCGAGTGAAGATTTAGGGGTTTTCGTGCAAGACGTTCGATAGAGGATTGCGACGTTGTAAAATCCTTTGAAGATAAAGTACGCAAAGGATCCTTTGGAGATAAATAACACAAAGGAAGTAGCAGAGAACGGAGAATGAATTAAAGTCTTGTGGAACAATTAGTGCAATTGATCGTGCGTGAAAGCTTTGGAGATAAAGAACGCAGATGAGTAGTAATATCGACAAGTCAATTGGCATCCATTATTGTCTTGGTCTTACTCAAGATTAAAAGAAGAAAAAGGGTTGAATTAACATAAAACTTACCCACACGCGAGGACAAAATTGGGGAACTGTGTGAACAAATCCTCGTGTCGATCTCTCTATTATCTCTTTACTCGCTTTATTTTCATTACACAATTTGTCAAATAGTATTGATTAATCGATCGTCTCGTAAGAATTTTCCTATGATCTTTCTGTTTCAACTTGGTTGTTGATTAGCTTATAATCACTTTTGATTATAAGTGGTTTTCATATCAACAACAACACAAAGGAAATTTTAAAATTTTGTTCGCACACCAAGTGTTTGATAAATTGCTCTGTTCAATATTTTCTACTTATTATCATTGGAAATAGCATTACTAAGTATTAGTTTAAACGAGTAATAATGTGATATTCGATTAAAGGTTAAATTCATTTGTTTTGTTTGTCATTCCATAATCGGCTTTGCATATCTGATTTCAATAACTAGGTTTGTGTAGACGACTTTTATCGATCCACACCAAAACCTTCCGCATGCACTCTTTTTCAAATAACTTTAAAATCCAATTTTTATTTGGTGATTTTGATTTGGGTGTCTATTCACCCCCCTCTAGACAAGTAGTCGTCGTCTAATAAGTGGCATCAAGATCCTGGTTCATTCTGTGCTTCGAAACGCTTATTAGAAAATGGATCACGAATCTAAAGGGGATTGTCATACCCTAAATTTTACCCCTTAGATGTCATCATCATTTGCATGTCATCATAGGTTAATCATTCTTGCATAACTAACCAAATCATATAGCTTTGCTGTTTTGTTTTGTATGAAATTAGGGCTGAGAACAAGAAATTGAAGGCTTTGATTAATCTAGATTTAAGGAAGGGACCAACCAAATTTGTCCTACCCACTCCAAGTTTTTCTCTTGAAAGTTGGTTTCAAAATGTTCTTTTTCTCAAGGATCTCATTTTAAAGTCAACTTTGGGCCATTGATTCTCATTTCTCAAGTTAGGAAATATGATTTTTTTTAATTACTTTCTAAGTTATATCAAGTGTAATGTCTAGAGGAAAGTGATGTTAGTGTGTTGGATCCAATTTGAGGTGGCGGTTGTTAGTGACAAGAGATTGGTCCTACATGATTTTGTTAATTCCAATTTTCATTGAGACACACACAAAAATTGCACAAAGAATATATTGCAAGTCACGTGTAATTTACTAAAAGTTCAGGATCTCGCAAACACAATGTTACAAAATG